AAAAAAAAAAAAAAAAAAAAAAAAAATATCAAATTAGAAAGTACAAATTTTATACGTTACTCGTAGTTAGTGATTCTGATTTAGTTCGTAGTTTTTGCGTTGAATATATAAATTGGAATTGCAACAGAAAATATGTATTGACTTCTCGCAGCTCCTTCAGCCATTGAACGCAGCTTCTATTTTTGGACTCGTCTCTGAGTGTGGAAAAAAGACGACGAGCGAGGGAGATCGGTTATCGTGAGTCGTAATCAGTCGAATCCATCAGGGAACAGTGTCGAGGAGATTTCAGCGTGTCGGGGGCTAAACAGGGCCGGCTGATCGATCGGATTCACCGGCAGGAGGCGCCTCGAAATTCCGTCCTTTCGACAGTGGTTGCCGATGGCCTCGGCGAATGCCTCGAATTGCTTTCAATGGTGTCATGCAACGTCTCGAATCGTTTCGACCGTTATTCCACAATCCTTGACAATACCGAAACCCGAACGTTGAAATGACATTTGTTACACAAGCACAAACATAGACAGTGAATTAGTTGATTTGATTTATCGATGGATAAATATTAAGCTTGCAGAAATTTTTCAGACTTTCTTCGTTTAAATATAGTCTGTGCTATCAGAGCTATCAGATTTCCAAGGGACGATATTATACATTAACCAATAAAATATAAAAATTTAATGGTTCGTATCGGTGAGTCATTTCAGTTTCGACATCTTTTGGTCTTCTTTTTTTTTTTTTTTGTAGAATACTTCCTTTGGCGTGGAGTAAAAAAAGATAGAGAGAGAGAGAGAGAGAGAGAGAGAGATAAAATGGTGGCAAAGTTACTTTGCGCGGTTCAGCCTCAAGTTTCGCGGATTAAAAATGTTAAAAGCAGCGCGAGCTTGCGGCCAGATAATTGCCAGACGTAACGAACGACGCGCACAATGCGAGCTGGAAAACAAACCAACACTGTTGCTATAGTGTGTGTGTGTATGCATAGTGTGTGCACTGCGCGCGCGCGCGCTCCACCAGTGAAAATTCTTTGACTCTCTCCCATGATGCTGTGTTTCGTTCTCCTTTTTGTCCTCGTCTTCTTTCCCCCTTTTGATCATCGTGGCAGCACCGCGGTCTTTTTAACCAAAAGGAAACTACCTTGTTGGGAAATTAGAGAAAAGAGCGCAACGACGGCTCTGCAACGTCGCTCTCCAATTGTTTCTCGTTATTCCACCTGCAACGTTAATAAACTTTGATCAGGAATTTATGGAGAAATGGGGGCGGGAAGCTCGGAAAACCTCCGTCGAAATTAAACGCTAAGGTAGTTTAACGACAATTAGATTCGAATTTCCCGCGTTCGGATTAAAAAGTAAAAAAATATTCCCAGTTGGATTTCAATGATAACTCGATATTCGTATTTTAAAATAAAGGATCAGCCGTTCCAAATTCTTATCCCTACTGTGCGTGCACTTGCTCGATGTCCGACGTAATGAAGTATTCTCCTCTTCGCGTCGGTGAAGCAAAGTCTCTCAATTTCCTTCGATTCGGTAGTCTGGAAATCTATATAAAAAAAAAAAAAAAAAAG